AAGCAATGATTAAGTGAAAACAATCCAGCTATATATAGCCAGTCCTAATAAAAACTTTATATGTGCAGTAAAATTTTACAAAAGAAGCGATCTGTTAATAAAGTTGAAGGACTTGTTCTACATAATTAAGCACGCAAATTCACAGATGGTCGCCGGGTATGCGAGGCTCGAGTTCGTCTGATGGAGGCGGTCTATCTGACTTCATTGATGGACTGGGGCCAGGACAGTTGGTCGGACGGCAGCTATTGGGAGCACCCACTTTGGGAGATGTTCAATTGTCTATGTGCTATCAGAAGGGCTTCCTTGAGGTACTTTTGTGTGGCAATTATTACCAAATTCCATATGGAAACACATAATACACTGCACGCAGAATATTTTTATATTTAATGACTAGCAACAAACATAAAGAATTTATTTGACAGTGTTATAAGAATTAGATACTGTTCGTAGCTAAGAAAATATCGTAACCATGGTAACGAACACACATTATCTTTAGTGCAGGTTTTATAAAAATTATAAATTGCACAGGTGGAGGTGATCCGCGCGCGGGGGCTCCAAGCCCGTCAAGGCAGCCGTACTTTGCCGGCGCCCTACGTTAAGGTATATTTAGTAAGCGGCAAGCGATGTATCGCTAAGGCCAAAACCAGTACAGCTCGACGGACCTTGGACCCGTTGTACCAGCAGACCCTTACGTTCCGAGAGAACTTCAAAGGGTGTATATTACAAGTGAGTCAATTAATTTTAAATAATCTTTCTACGGTATTTATCAAATAATTTTACAAATATATTAACTAATATATTTGTGTGTGTTTGAAATAAATATATTTTTTTATTAATATATAAATCAAAATTTTCTCTTTTCGAAAATCTTTTATAATATGCCGTCAAATTAATTCGAGATTCTAATAGCACAATAATGTATAAAATTAAAAGCAAAGAATCCAATTCAAGTCTCAGTATATCTCAAGTCCATTAGTTTAGACTACATTATATCGGTTAGCAGTGTGAAAGTTAGTTGAAATATAAAAAAAAAAAAAAAAAAAAAAAAAAAAAAAAAAAAAAAAAAAAGGGGGGGGGGGGGGGGAGAGAGAGGGGGGGGGGGGGGGGGGGGGGGGGGGGGGGGGGGGGGGGGGGGGGGGGGGGGGGGGGGGGGGGGGGGGGGGGGGGGGGGGGGGGGGGGGGGGGGGGGGGGAAGGGGGGGGGGGGGGGGGGGGGGGGGGGGGGGGGGGAAAAAAAGGGGGGGGGGGGGGGGGGGGGGGGGGGGGGGGGGGGGGGGGGGGGGGGGGGGGGGGGGGGGGGGGGGGGGGGGGGGGGGGGGGGGGGGGGGGGGGGGGGGGGGGGGGGGGGGGGGGGGGGGGGGGGGGGGGGGGGGGGGGGGGGGCGGGGGCCCGGGGGCCCCGCCCCGCGCGGGGGGGGGCCGCCGCGGGCGCCCCCCCCCCCCCCCCCCCCCCCCCCCCCGCCCCGGACCCCCCCCCCCCCCCCCACACAAAAAAAAAAAAAAAAAAAAAAAAAAAGGAGAAAAAAAAAAAAAAAAAAAAAAAAAAAAAAAAAAAAAAAAAAAAAAAAAAAAAAAAAAAAAAAAAAAAAGGGGGAAAGGGGGAAAAAAGGGGGGGGGGGGGGGGGGGGGGGGGGGGGGGGGGGGGGGGGGGGGGAAAAAAAGAAAAAAAAAAAAAAAAAAAAAAAAAAAAAAAAAAAAAAAAAAAAAAAAAAAAAAAAAAAAAAAAAAAAAAAAAAAAAAAAAAAAAAAAAAAGAAAGGGGGGGGGAGAGGGGGGGGGGGGGGGGGGGGGGGGGGGGGGGGAAGGGGGAGAAAAAAAAAAAAAAAAAAAAAAAAAAAAAAAAAAAAAAAAAAAAAAAAAAAGGGGGGAAAAAAAGGGCGGGGGGGGGGGGGGGGGGGGGGGGGGGGGGGGGGGGGGGGGGGGGGGGGGGGGGGGGGGGGGGGGGGGGGGGGAAAAAGAGAGGGGGGGGGGGGGAGAGGAGGGGGGGGGGGGAAGGAGGGGGGGGGGGGGGGGGGAGGGGGGGGGGGGGGAGGGGGAAAAAAAGGGGGGGGGGGGGGGGGGGGGGGGGGGGGGGGGGGGGGGGGGGGGGGGGGGGGGGGGGGGGGGGGGGGGGGGGGGGGGGGGGGGGGGGGGGGGGAGGGGGGGGGGGGAGGGGGGGAAAAAGAGAAGAAAAAGAGAGAGACGGGGGGGGGGGGAAAAAAAACAACCCCCCCAAAAAAAAAACCCCCCCCAAAAAAGAGGGGGGGGGGACGCGGCCAACACCCACCACAAAAACGCGGGGGGGGGGGGGGGGGGGGGGGGGGGGGGGGGGGGGGGGGGGGGGGGGGGGGGGGGGGGGGGGGGGGGGGGGAGGGGGGGTATTTTAAAAAAAAAAAAAAAAGGGGGGGGGGGGGGGGGGGGGGGGGGGGGGGGGGGGGGGGGGGGGGGGGGGGGGGGGGGGGGGGGGGGGGGGGGGGGGGGGGGGGGGGGGGGGGGGGGGGGGGGGGGGGAAAAAAAAAAAAAAAGAAAAAAAAAAAAAAAAAAAAAAAAAAAAAAAAAAAAAAAAAAAAAAAAAAAAACCCCCCGGAGAGGGTGTTTTTTTCCCCCCCCCCCCCCCGCCCGGGGGGGGGGGGGGGGGGGGGGGGGGGGGGGGGGGGGGGGGGGGGGGGGGGGGGGTTTTTTTAGGGGGGGGGGGGGAGAAGAAAAGAGGGGGGGGGGGGGGGGGGGGGGGGGAGGGGGGACCGGGGGAGGGGGGGGGGGGGGGGGAAAAAACCCCCCCCCCCCCCCCCCCGAGAGACCCGGGGGGGGGGGGGGGGGGGGGAGGGGGGGGGGGGGGGGGGAACCCCAAAAAAAAAATTTTTTTTTTTTTTAAACCCCCCCCCCCCCCCCCAACCAAAGGAAGGGGCGGGTGTGGGCCCCCCCCCCGCGGCCCGCGGGGGGGGGGGGGGGGGGGGGGGGGGGGGGGGGGGGGGGGGGGGGGGGGGGGGGGGGGGGGGGGGGGGGGGGGGGGGGGGGAAGGGCCCCGTTCCCCCCCCCGGGGGGGGGGGGGAAAAACCCTCCCCCCCCCCCCCCCCCCCCCCCCCCGGGGGGGGGGGGGGGGGTTTTTTTTTTTTTTTTTTTCACCCTTTAAAAACCAAGGAAGCGGGGGAAAAAAAAAAAAACCCCCCTTTTCCGGGGGGGGGGGGGGGCCCCCCCCCCCCCCCCCTCCCCCCCCCCGGGCGGGGGGGGGGGGGGGGGGGGGGGGGGTTTTTTTGGGGGGAGGAGCCCCCCTTGGGGGGGTTTTCGGGGGGGGGGTTTTCCGGGGGGTTTTTTGTTTGGGGGGTTGTGGTCTATTAGTTGAAATATAAAAAAATATTTTATTATTTAGGTAACAGTTTGGGGCGACTACGGTCGCATCGAAGGCAAGAAAGTGTTCATGGGTGTGGCCCAAATTATGTTGGATGACCTCAACTTGTCCAATATTGTTATTGGATGGTACAAACTTTTCGGGACTACGTCTTTGGTGAGTCTATATTTAAAAAGGCTCTTTGTTTCAAAATCAATAATATATTATCGATTATAATAGATATTTATATAACTTTAATTTAGACTATTAATTAAATGTTTTTTCTCTTCCTTTGCAGTAACTGTGGCTGGCCGCTATGGCGGTGTGGGTGAACAATATCAATAATAATAAAAAGTTATATAAAGTCCAAATAATACATCTAGTGATACTGCTTTAATATTATAAACTGCAAATGTCTTGAATATAGAAAAATTTTCTATAAACGAAAGTTACATGTAAATTATTTTTTCTTTCGGAATGCCTACCGGAGTTATAAATAGTTAGCATTTTATAGCAACGGATGTATAGTGTACTCGATAATGTAAGTATTAAAAGCCAAATAAGACTGTTTGTTTCCTTTGACCCTTTTACAGCAAGGAAATCAAGTTTCAATTGACTATTAACCGTAAGAAACTGGAAGGGTTAATAAGGGCGCTGAACGTGTTCGAAATTGACATATTATTTCAATTTGCGCTTAACAATACATAAAACTCGAAAAATGAAAACTTGTAAATTAAAACGCTCCGTGGTAATTAGAATGAAATGGAAGAAACTACTACTACTACTAGAAAATAAAAATTGTGCGTGTACTAGGTGTACACACGTAAGAAGTGAAACTTCTTTATGATCTTATTTTTCGAAAAATGATCTACTATATGCAACATTACAGAAATTCGTTAAATTAGATAAAGTTTAACAAAAGGCTTTTATTATCATAGACATGAATGCAAATATTTCATTTAACCTTATTACTACGAAGATTATTATAGAATTTCATTAATTGTAATAGAATTATTACTATCATTGAAAAACGTGACGATTTGCTACAAAATTTCTCCCATACGTCGATAAAGAAGTTTCATTCCAACGCCGATAAAGAAGTTTGACTTCAAAAAGCAACATGGCGCGTAACCGAAAAATGTGACGCGTAACGAAAAAATGTTACACTAAATTTTTTTCCAACCTCGATAAAGAAGTTTCACTTCAATAATAAAATTTTAAAATAAGCATTATACTTTTCCAAATCTTTATACTAATATTCTTGATAAGTGATCTTAAAAGAGGGCGTGCGCTTTTAAATATAAATAAATGTCATGGTTGATAAAAATTCAAGACAATTTATAAAAAATGTTTATTATCTGTCAAGTATTTTACATAACATGTATAATTTTCACTTACACTATTCATTCGAAACTTACATACTTATTGCGCTTCAACAAAATTATTCTAATACATCTATCCGCGGGTTCAAGGGTCTTAAAAAAATACATATGTGTAAAACTACCGTGCAAAAGGCACGTAACAAGTGCTTCCAGATCACGAATTACAATTCTAACAGGAGATACATTTTATACATTTATTTTAATAATTTGATTTCAAATTACATTGTTGAATGAATTATATAATATTTTAGTTTTATCTGGCAATTAGTGTCTGGAAGTACTAGGTTAAGGTTAAAAATAATTATTCTAAGTGAAGTTTAGTGCAGTACTTGTTTTGTTTGTTTTGAGGGCGAGGCTCCCGGAAGTCGGCCTTCGCCTGCTCGCTTTACGCCCGTTGATTTTATATCTGAAAATTTTTAATTGTTGTAAAACATAAAAAAAAAAACTGAAAAACCTTTATTTATGAAATCAAAAAGGATTATTATTATTATTATTCAGTTTTATATAAAAACTAGTGGACCCGACAGACGTTATCCTGCATGATATTTCAAGCGATTAGTAAAGCAAAGTATGAAAGTACCCACTGCAGCGCCATCTGGCGGGCTGATTTGTGAATCTAAACCATTCCCAGATCCCCTTGAACACACACAAAAAATTTAATCAAAATCGGTCCAGTCGTTTGAGAGAAGTTCAGTGACATACACACTCACAGAAGAATTATATATATAAAGATACACACCTTGCAGCCACCTGACTTGAGTAGCGGGTCCATAGCCCTTGTCGTTCCTCGCTGCAATACGGAATATGATCGCGGGTTTCGCTGACGAGTCCACGTGGGCCGCGCCCAACGACGACTGCGGGACTACGCACGTGTTCGCTTTACCGCAATACACGCGTACGAAGGCCAACTGGTTCTTTGATTCCTGAAATGTTTTTATTAATAAAATAATTATAATTAAATTAGGTCCACATTTGAACCGTAACGATATTTAACACACACAAAAATTTGTCTACGCCTTTTACCGCAATGTGTGTTGAAAATAGACTGGAATTGTCGTTACATTTTAATTTCTATTTTGGACTGGTTCAAAGGGAGATTTATCAGTTTGAATTATAAGAATATTCTTAAGGCTTCAAAGCATAATACAGTGATAACTCTTTAAAAGATAAGAATATTCTTTAAAGCATAATACAGTGATAACTCTTTAAAAGATATGAATAATCTTTAAAGCATAATACAGTGATAACTCTTTAAAAGATAAGAATATTCTTTAAAGCATAATACAGTGATAACTCTTTAAAAGATAAGAATATTCTTTAAAGCATAATACAGTGTTAACTCTTTATAACGTTACTGGATATAACGAAAAACTCTCTATAACGTAAGAATTTATTACATTTATTTAGTTTACCCCAATACCCATACATTAATTCCTCACTCCCTATAACGAATAAAAATGCGCGGTCCCTTGAAATTCGTTATAAATAGATTACACTGTATGTACTAAATTTCGTGTCGGTCCACAATTTCTCGGAAACTAAAGTGTCATCAAAATCGATTCAGTATTTTTGAGATATGTGTATGCATGTGTTTCTGGAGGGGATTTGTGCCATATGGATTCATGTTTGGTTATAGTAATCTTGTTTTTTTACTTAATACACAATTTCTCTTTCTATTATATACCACTATGGATAAGTTTTTAATTTACATTTATGACATATTGTCAATTACGTAAAAAATTTAAACATTAGCAAACCAAATGTGTTTAAAGTTCCGTAAGTTAACTCACATTAGCAATATAAACATAAAAAATCAAATAAATGGTGCTACAACCCTAATTGGGTCTGGGCCTCAGATTTCTGAATCTGTTTCATGATCATTTGTCAATATAATAGGCAAGTAGGAGATCAGCCTTCTATGCCTGACACACGCCGACGAATTTTGGGGTCTAAGCCTGTCACGATGTTTTCCTTCACCGTTCGAGCGAATGTTAAATGCGCACATATGGTCCAAGATCCCAGGGCCGCCAGACGTCACGTATTTTCTGACGGATGAAATGTGGACGATTGGGTAGTGTTAGTATGTACTATGATCGTATGCCTACCTGCTAGCTTGGTCAAACGGCCAATTTCCAGGGATCAGGTAATCAAGGTACACAAAAAAATTACTTACTTCATGTAAATTCTCATGGCTGATTTTTATATATGTTTTCGAGTGTATAGTTAAAAATAAATTGTCAATACTCCCAGACACTTTCCGTCGGCCATATTGCTTGACAGACGCTTTAAGGGTCTCAAAATAATTAGTCAACTTCACGTAAATTCTGACGCTCCATTTTTATATATGTTCATCCGACAACTATTTTAAAAGCTTTGACAAGAAGACAGACCGATCCAAGGGGGCCAATCATCGCGAGAGCATTATCTACGCGCATGAGACTGAGTGAGACCGACTGCGCTGTTAAGGCCATGAAAATTACTTGAACAGATATTTTATAATTTTTAGAACTTTTGTTGACAAGTAAATTATAGCAACAAAAATAAGAAAAAAAATTGACATATAATAAATAATACTAAAGTTAGCCGACATTTTTAATTTTTTTTTTCAATTTATTAATTAGAACTAAAAAATATTTTTTAAAAATACCACTTATATTTAAATAGCAGCAATTTTTTTAATTAATTATTTATTGGAAATTTGGAAACAAAGTGGAAAAATATTAATTCTTCAATATTTCTTAACAGTGGCTTTTAATCTTCAGTATCATCATCGTTGAAATTAGATAATTCATCATCCAGCCAATCTGGAAATTGAATATCTAAATCGTGATCGTCATCATCAGCATTATCCTTATTTTCTTCCTCTGTAAAAAACAAGTTAAACAATGAAGGTCTGAAAAAACTAAAAAGATACAAATAATATGAGAAACGAAAATAATTTACCTGATTGTTCTTCCAGCGACTCACTGACAAAACCCGGTAATTGATCTCCATCGAACCAATGAAAATCATATTTACCATCTTGTAGTGTCCAGCCATTGTTTTCGGGGTTTAAAATATTTATCATCTTCGTACTTGCATTGTTCCAAAGACTAGCGATATAGCTAGCCCGTCGAAACTGTTGCCAAAGCTCACTTTTACAAGGTGGTAAGTTACTGGCATCGAAGTTTCTTAAATTCTTTCGATTGAGTTCTTCATTTATATCAGATACCATGTATGTATTAATAAACAACTGTAGTCTGGCAGCATCTACATCAATTATTCCAGGAACGATGTAAACATCACAGATAAATTTTTGTATTATGTTGAATACACGTTCTTCTTCGTCTACATCACCAACAAAATCCAACGTACCAAAACGGTGAAATGCTTGTTGGTAATATTCATGGCTTTAACAGCGCAGTCGGTCTCACACAGTCTCATGCGCGTAGATAATGCTCTCGCGCTCCCACTCACAGAGATATTAAAATTTAGTTTAGGGGATGATTGGCCCCTTGGATCGGTCTGTCTTCTTGTCAAAGCTTTTAAAATAGTTGTCGGATGAACATATATAAAAATGGAGCGTCAGAATTTACGTGAAGTTGACTAATTATTTTGAGACCCCTAAAGCGTCTGTCAAGCAATATGGCCGACGGAAAGTGTCTGGGAGTATTGACAATTTATTTTTAACTATACACTCGAAAACATATATAAAAATCTGCCATGAGAATTTACGTGAAGTAAGTAATTTTTTTGTGTACCTTGATTACCTGATCCCTGGAAATTGGCCGTTTGACCAAGCTAGCAGGTAGGCATACGATCATAGTACATACTAACACTACCCAATCGTCCACATTTCATCCTTCAGAAAATACGTGACGTCTGGCGGCCCTGGGATCTTGCTCTAATAGAAAGAAAGTCCATTGGTGCACAGCCGGGGATCGAACCTACGACCTAAGGAATGAGTCGCACGCTGAAGGCACTAGTCCAACACAGCTCTAATATAAACATAAATCATCAAAATAACAATTATAATTTATATTTCTATACATTCCTTACAAATTAAAATGCATCGATAAACGCGTTTTTTAGCTGTCCTACCTTTTGTTGTGAACTGGAGCGTACAGCAAGATATACGGAGTACTCGAAGATACCTTCGGCTGCGACCTGCGGAGGTTCCCATGACAAGTGTGCACCCTCCACGGACTTTGAAATTTTGATGGCAGAAGGTGCGCCCGGGAATCCAGGGAGACACGTTTTGAATGCTGCCTCCTATAACACAAACATTGCAAAACATTTTTAGAAAATGTTACGTTGCTTAGGCAGATGCATTTTGTCCGTTTTTATCGTAAAAGAGTCAGTATGTGCCTTACTACTAAATAGCATTTGAAAGTACGAAAAATAAAGGGTAATTGACAGTAATCCGCATAATAGAACTTGGCCTTTAAAAGCGTTATAGAGTAAAATAACTTGTGTACGTGTGAACAACATGGTGAGTCAGATGGGACTAGTGCAACGCCATCTTGCATAAGCGCTTTCAATTAAAATTGTGTTTCAAGCCAATACTCAACAAAATTAAAAATACAATAATTGTAGAGGATCCACTAGTCACTAATGAATAATCTGAAATGATTTTCAGAATCTTGTGAAATAGCAGACATTTTATCTTAACACAAACCAATTACAATTTTCTAAATTTATTATAGGCGCAAAAGTAGTTTTTAAGGTTCCGTAGCCGAATGGAAAATAATGGAGTCCTTGTAGAATTCTGTATGTCTATCCGTCACATCCACTATTAGGATTAAACGCTCTAGGATTCTTTATTATGTTAAAAAAATTATCTCTGGAACTGAACCAAGACAATACTTCATCTTATATCTCTTTGATATTTTGGATAAAACCCTCTCAATGGTGTGCCAATAGTTCCAACAAGGTTGCATTAAACGTTTAACGCTTAGAAAGAGACTTGAGCGCATGCGCGTAGTGTAGCTGTTACGGGTCAGCGCGAGCGTTAGCAACCAGTAGCGTCCAATATTCCAACGCAAGAGGGAGAAAAAAAGATACAAAGAAAAAGTAGGAGAGAGAAAGAGTGAGTCGGTAGATCTTCGGATCTACACATGCGCGTGGTATTCTTGGTATGCAGCGAAGTAAACAGTGTGAGCGTCGTGAAATTAGCTGAAATACGTACTTCCGCGCGGTGAAATACGTACTCACTATTTTTTATTTTTTAATACGGTTAATGGGTGTAAAGTTTGTCGGCAAGATGGATTGACTTGAGATTAAACATACCTCACTAAAGTCCCCTTTGCCACAGGAATTAATGGCGGCGATCCTAAACTTGTACGCTGTGCCGTGCTCCAGTGGCGTCGTGGACAACTCAGTGAGGTCTGGCAGATTGTCCAACGATAAATTTGACAGCTCTATGTTCGGATCAGATATGTAGTTTTGAACCTGATAAAAAGTTAAAAATCTGTGTGTACAAAGTCAACAAATAGCATCATTTAAATATGTATATTATTCTATAAACATATTTAAATAAAAAACTTTTTAAGGTCTGGGACTCAGATGCGTGATTGTTTGTTCCTAATAGGAAGGTGAGTAATCAGCCCGACTTATAGGTCTAAGCGATGACTTAAGTATTTCAAAAATTGCTTTTTTTGAATTCTATTACCGAGTAAAACAGACTATATTAATTTCGAAAATTTTTATGATTCAGATTATGCACATTTTTATGAGATTAAAGTACATGAATACATGTAAGGAAAACATAATATATTTTCCTATACAAACTCTTGTCTATATTGTATTTTATATAAACTCTTTTGTAATGTTGTCTTTGCCGTCTGCTCGACGATGTTTAATTTATGTCACTTGACATAATACATATATGTAAGATATTTTAATTTTAATACTATTATATACATTTAAAGTATACTCACTGTAAATGTAGTTCCTTTCACAATGCCAACTGTATACCATGTGTCTTCTTCATTTGGTTTTTGTTCTTCTTGTTCAGGCTGAAATTTTTTTATTTATGAATTTACAAATACAATTTTATTTTGTCTTAGTATTTTATTATAAGTGGCGTCCCTAATATCTCTGATATAGAACCGTATTTTTTGTTAAAGCTACGGTTTCCTAGAAAAGCGGTGCCGTTATCCAACGGCCGTAATGTAACGTTGGGTGACGTCACCCATACGTTGTCTATAATAATCTATATATATAAAAGGAAAATGGTCTTCGTTTGAGGCTCCTTCACGCCTAAACCACTGATCGTATCGACATGAAACTACCACCATTCGATGCGAAATTTTTCCTAGATGGTTTATGGCTATTTATTTATTAAATTCCAACGTTCCTTCATTTTTTTATTGCTGTTTTACTTTTATGAAAATTTATCCATACGGACTTCACCGCGGAAACATTCGGGGAGGCTTCCTAGAACCTCTAAACGTCAACATCTGTTAAAAACTCGATTTTCGAAATATTTCAATTTTCTTAGCGGGAAGTTAAAAAGAAGAATAATAAATATATGAAAAAAAAATAAAATAATGAAACATAAAATTTATTTTAATTCGTCCAGCAAAGCGGGCGCGAAACGGCTAGTTATTTATAAATAAAACCTAGTAGTACCTAAGTAAGTTTTCTAGAGAACGTCGAGTGTCACCGTAACGTCAAATAGCTGTGCTGTCATTTGCATGATGGCCGTCATAGCGGTGATAAATAGTAGTTCAACGTTTTGCGCGTGTAGTGGTGCGCATATTTAATTAATACAATGACTTGGACGAGCGAAAACGATGAACAATTAATTGATTTTGTTAAAAATCATGAAACTTTGTACAATATCAAATCCTAAGAGTACAGACAAGCTCAGATGAAGCAAAATTTGTGGAACGAAATTGGAATAACACTTCAAAAATACAGTTGCACTACTTTCTAGGAAACCACAGCTTGGCCACCGTAAAGACGGCCGTTATTAACAACCGTAACGGCACCGCTTTTCTAGGAAACCGTAGCTTAAGAAATATAAGGCTTTGAAATTACTAATAGATAAATACCTTCCGTCATACACACCTGTTCTTGATTGTGATGTAAGGCAGCACTTGCAAGGGTGGCCAGCGCGTGGGCAGCATCAGTGGGCGGGATGGGCGGCTGCCCATTTGCCCCTGAGCTGCTCACGGCCCCCTCTTCGGCCGCGCCACCTCCCGATGACGACACCCCACCGCTCGCTCCTTCCTCACCCTCACCCTCGTCAGTTACTCCACTGCCTGCCACTAAAGTATTTATGCGAGTTCAAATTACTTGTTATAAATTCTATAGTCGTTGATCTTTCTATAGAGGGCATTTAACAGCTACTTCATTAAAAAATCTACGAATCTTGTAAGTAGTTTCGTCGGTTCGATTTCCGAATTTTTTTTTACAGAGGGGTAATCATTTAATTGCACTTAAAGATTAGTAAAATAGGATTGTGTCTGAGTAGCATTGAGTAATGCGTAGTTAACTGTTAGTTTTTATTAACCGACTTATAATAAACCCAAGTAGGAGGTTATTAATTAGACATGTATTTTTTTAAAATCGTATACTTTGAAGATTTTTTTGGGATTAAAATCTAAGAAACGTCTCAAGTTTTAAATGCCAAAACCATTCATTTGTTTATTACACATTACACAAGTCAGTGGATAAATTTTAGAAAACTCACCCCATACTAAATATCCTTGCTTTATATAATATATGACATGCCATATTTACTTAAATTCTCTAGAGTAGTAAACTGTAAAATACCTTGCAATAAGTTAGGAGATAGAATAGCAGCTCCGTTTGCTGTCATTGTGAGTATTGGCAAGGACTCACTCACAGCGGGCATAGTGTCTGCCCCTCCTTCCATTTCAGATGTATCTGCATCACTAAAACTGAAATTATAAGTTCCTCCAATTTAAAAAGTCAAAAATCCATGCTTTTTTACTAGAGGGATAGAGAGACTAAATTATCATAGATTTTCCTTTCACTTGTAACAAATAGTTTTAAGTTTAATTCTAATAATAAATTATTTAATGCTTTTGTCAGCATAATATGCTAACCATATAAAATTAATGCTTCTGTTAGATAACATGATAAATATAATCATATTATCTACTTAGATTTTCCCTTATTGCCTTCTCTAAGCATTCATTTTAAAGAAATAGATTAATAAGTTTCAAGTTTCTCCAACAAATATAATTTTGAATTTTCCTGAATATAATACTCACTCATTAGTGGGTTGCGGCAGTATTGTGAAGGAATGAAGTAATGCAGGTCCATTGGCTGTGGAAGAGATAAGAGTTGGCTCTCCTTGCCCACTGCTTGTTATGTCAGCGACTTCTGGAGTGCTGGAACTGTATAGAACCACATAATATTTTTCATTCACAATAACAAATAATACCATCGACTACTTACAACACTAATAAACAGAGGGGGGGGTGATAAAAAAAAAAAAAAAAAAAATTTAAAAGAAAAATTTTTTTTTTTTTTTTAAAACACCAATTTTAAAAACCATTTGACAGTATACAAACAATAATAAATTATAAGCCTTTGTAAACTGGGTATCACACTGTCTAATGGTGAAAAGATTGAAAAATCTGACTAATGTTACTAGAATGTTACTGACATTCTAATATTTCAAGCCAAAATTTTATGAATATCTCATGAAAAGGCGATTTTAACACTATACATAAATATAAAATACTTCTTCTATGATTATACCTAATAGCTGTTCCAAGAATGTCCTGAGCAGCACTGCTGATATCATTAACATCATCGCTGCTGGCAACTCCTTCTCCGCCACCCATGTCTTCATCCATTGTACTTGACTCATCTGCTAAAAAATGAATAAAATAAACATTTATGTGAAGATATTAAAGAAAGAATGAATTAAATAAATAAAACGTATATAAAATTTTATAATAAAACTTTTATGAAAATATTATTTCATAGCTAAATTGATGAAAAGAAAAAATGAAATAAACTAAAAAAACAAACCATCGTTAATAATTGGTGCAGTATCACCTTCAATAGGCATTGCAGAGCTGATTGATTGGTCAGGAGACTCTTCTGGCTGTTCACCTCGTTCAGCCGTATCCTCATCCAGACCGTCTTGTTTTAAAAGGAGATCTAAGCCCTCACTCTCTTGAGGAGAGTTATCTTCAGTCACAGCCTATAAAACCAATATTATTATCACTACTTTTTATAAACTCTATTAATTAGTTTACACTTCTTTAGAATATAAATTTGAGTAACTCGAGTTCATTCCAGGCTAGCACAACAGCACAACTTTTTATTAAATATGTAATAGTTAGACATTTCAAATTACAATATGTAATAGTCTGACATAGCACAGACTTTGTTGATGCTCTATAAATCTGTAGTACATCATTTTGCTAGGATATAGGGATTTTTATTAGTATTTTTTCACACCCTGGGTTATATTATCAAATTTTAATATGAATCCCTTACCTTTTCTATATGTTCATCAGTAGGATTTTAAACATGTTTTTATATTAACTCGTCCAGTATTGAAGTAAAGCTATGTAAACATTTTCAGGATGGAGTTGCAGAGATACATACAAAACCAAAGTTTGATAAAAATTGTCTTACGGGAGTTGATAAACAGTTGTCTCCAATGTAAGCAGACTCATCCCCAACTGCTCCAGGAGTTGTTTCATCTATATCCATTTCATCTTCTGCTTCTAGACAAACAGTTGGTTACGGGGTAAATTAATAAAATATTTAAGAAACAATAAACAGAGAAACCATACTTCAGGTATTTTACTTACCTTGATTGCCTTCTTCACCAACTTCTGGTTCATCATGATCTGCCTGGTCTCCACCTTGTTCCAGTTCTAAGAGATCACTGCTACTTGTGGGTGCTCCTCCATTTGTAGCTAGAATTATGTACAAATAAAACAAAAAGACAAAACAATTCTTACATTAGTCACGTTTTAACGTTAAACATGAAATATTTTACTGAGGCGTGAGCATCGCAGCGAGTGACCTAACATCAAACTCATGCCTATTGGGGTTGCAAAATATGTATTCACATCAATGATAAAAACATGGATTACCTGCACCCTCTGTTGTTTCAACCGATTCAGAATGCTCGCTGGTAATGTTATCTTCCGCTATTTCATCAATTGTTTCTGGTTCATTTTCAACCAAAGGAGACATTTCCGCGCCATCGGAAACATCACCATGTAATTGTGCTTCTGCATCCATTTTGCACAATCTATTATACAAGGATTGTTTTTCACAAATTAAGATTGATTTATAAACCCCAATTAACAAATAAAACCGAACATTCTCAGAATAATTCACAAATTCATCAACTATTTGACAAATTCAAATAATCGTCCAATGTCCATACTCCATAGTGTTTAGCGGCTAGCCAACTTGGCGTCACTTTTTGACGTTTTATTATAAGTCAGTTGTCAACAGACGAACTATTAGCTTTAAATATGACACTGAATAAGAGAAAACATTAATACAAACAGTATTTTCAACCTAAAGCCAGGCATGCTACGCTATAATTCCAGGGAATTGAGATAAAATCACTATACGAAATTTTATGGAAATGGCATTAACTCACTCTTTATCAGTGACCATTTTCATAAATTCATTTGACGTTAGTGGGTAGATCAAAATGGGGTTTTTTTTTTTTTTTTTTTTGGGGGGGTGGGGGGGGGTTTTTTTGGGAGGGAGAACAAAAGGAAAAAAGGAAAGGAAAAAAAAAAGAAAAAAAAATTTTTTTTCGGGGGTTTTTTTTTGGGGGGGGGGGGAAAAAAAAAAAAAAAAAAAAAAAATTTTTTTTTTTTTTTTATTTTGACATTTTATTCTTTCATTCTTTTATTAAAGCTAAACTGTCAAAATGCTAATCTGTGGCCGAGCGTAGACTGCGATGACCATCCGCGATTCTACACGCACCTATATAAGCCCCATAGGCCATAGCTTACTAACTGAAACTCATGCGACTCATCGAGCACATCCAAACGGCTACAGATTCCCTGCTCGAAAGGGTTCTGACTATTAAAATCGTGATACTTTGCGATTTTAACGCCCACCTTATCGATTCGGGTCTCAAACCAGCGGTCACGCGGGAAGATACTTTCGTTTCTTTGCTTTGGCATACGATTGACAAAAATAAATCATAATGGTCATAAATCCTCTTTGTTGATCCTTCTGCTGACTTTGCAACTGCATAACTACTAAGACTCTGTTGACTCACCATTAGGTTCATCGGGTCATGGCGAGGTCCGGAGAACTACGCCGTTCACACGCCCTCCAAGACTTCGCTTCACGAGCTGTCGCCGCGGATAGCGGAGAACTACAACTATGGGCTTGGAACTTTTTATTCCATTCTTTACGGTGCCGATCGGTGGCAAGTCCCAACCTTGGCAGCAAAGCAGCGACATCCTGTGATACGACTATCGGTGAACCTTAAAAAGAATATAAATTAGCCTCGTCCTTCAAACGGGAAATCGTTAGGGCGAAGTTAGAGACATGGCGTGAAATTGGTCTGCCTCCCTTTGGGAACTCGAGCATTCTGGTCGCAAGCCAAAGCAGTCTAAGGGAATCTCTGTCAACCCTTTATTCCACCACTTCACAGGGAGGATGGCTCCCTGGCCTACACCGCGAAGAACAAGGCCGATCTTGTGGGCTGTCTCTTTGCGTCAAACTTTGGGTGGCCACCAACATTGACATGAAGGGAAGGCACCCCCAACATTATTACGGTGTATACTATAGTCTATACGTATAGTATACACTGCATAGGCGTCCATGCGTCGGATTGTCTCTCTCCCTAAAATATGGCGAGGGGGCCGATGGCTGGCCATGCGTCATACTCGTGAACGGGTGCTACTTGAGGTGACTGGTCATACTTGAATTCGTGTATGCGGTGATGTTAGTTATTCACCATGCCTCCTGCTGATAGAGGACAAGTCTTTGTTTTTAATTTATGTTATTATTATTTATTACTTAAGATGTCATGTGGCACGTGGTGTAATGGTTGCAGCTCCTTACAAACGTTGTGTAAAAAAACATGGCGATTAAAAGAGTGGCGGAGAGTTTATTGCCAGTTCTTCTCTTCCGTTCTACGCCCTTGATTTGAGAACTGGCACTCAATTTAAAGTTAGAAGCATTTCATATTCATACATACATATGATTGAATAATTTTTTTTTTTTTTACTTTATTATACATTGAAATTCATATTCATTTATATGCATATGCATATCTAACGAGTAAAGCTCTATCTTCCTTGCACATTCATAAGTCGAGCGGGCATTTTGGCATCCTTCCAATGGTGCTGCGTACTTGTGCTATAGTCCTAACGCGCCTTTACTCGCTCGGCATTGTCCTGATGTGCTGAAAGACCGCTTCAATACATACGTTGTCGCTCCCTATAAAAGGTGATCGCTCTGATCCGTCCAACTATCGCCCGATAGCCTTGTTTTCCAAAATAATTGAAACCATTATTAACGGCCAGCTCCTAAGATATCTATAGAGCCACAAGCTGAATAGTGATGATCAGTAAGGCGGTCATCGTGGGCGCTCAGCTGGACATTAAACATATTTTGTCATTTAATTTTATTTGAACGTTTAAGAAAGTCGCGTCGCGAAGTTCGCGCCTGTCAAGTGTCAACTATCAACTCACAACTCATAAGAGTCACAACCACAAGTGTCATTTTAGTTTTTAATTTCAAGTTTGTCATTCACATTTTGTAAGTTGTAACAGGATTACGGATTTTATTAAAAAAATATATTAATATATTTAACGGTAAGATTGTTTTGTCTTTAGAATCAATTAGTTACAGTAAAGTACAATATTAAATGGACATGTTATAAAATATTATTGGTAGTATTACAATTTATTTTTGTGATATTTGTTCGATACCGGCAGTCATAAGTTCTCTAGGTTCCTTATTCATATATTTTTTATCAAAAATGTAGGTGACGTCATATAGGTACTTTATTTCCAATCGTTGATATGATTATTATTTGATTATTCGTAAGGAATACTCGTGAAAGGTTAACCCCTAATTTTTATTGAAGGTTGTCTTTTGATTTAGATAATTAAATTTTCCGTTTTGTTATAGGAAATTATAATGGATTTGCTAGAATTGGTTTCATCAAATAAAATTTTTGGGGGTCTCCAAAAGGTATTCTCCCATCAGTCAACTGAGCTTACATGCAAAATGAATTTTTCTGTTTATTTTCCTCCGCAAGCGGAGGGTGGTGATGTTAGACTACCAGTTATTTTCTACCTATCTGGATTAACCTGCTCAGAACAAAACTTTATTTCAAAATCTGGTTTTCAAAGGTACGTATTTTATATGTAGGTATTATAGTAAAAATAATACATATATTTTTATTTTAGATAATTACCATATTATGTAATTTTAGTTAGAGTTAGTAACATTTGGTCTTAATAGTTAAGTTAGTAAACAAAACAAAAAAATCATTAGCGTGGTATGGCAACAACCAAAATTTAAAGCTATGCCTGTTCTTTGAGATCAACACATTCTGGATACCAAAGCTTGTTCCAGTCTTGGTAAACATTTTTGATGCACCGTAGAACCTTGGCAAGCCTAATAGCAACCTTAATGTGTTATACTGAATATGGAGCATATTCAACGCCCATAGTTTTACAAGTATGTAGCTTTATAGTAGCATGAAGTACTGGATGTTTGAGACTTAGTTAAAAAAGACAGGTTATTTGAAACTTACATACAGATATGAAAGAAATACTTACATACCAAAAAAAAAAAAATAGTTATTATTTAAAAACATGTTAGTTATCATTATGTAACTTTATTTTATTTGACTGCTTGACCTCATGCCACATTAAGAATTATTATTTTTGCATTATCTTTATATAATACTCGAAAGATAAAAAAGTAAGAAAAACAAATTTTTTTATGTAAATGATAGTTCTATACTCAGTACTTCTATTAAAGTATTAAATTAAAAAGTATTTAAATATAAATTGTCATTGATTTTAGATATGCAGCGGAACATGGAATCATTGTTGTGGGCCCAGACACTTCACCAAGAGGGGTTAAAATACCTGGAGATGATGAATCATGGGATTTTGGGGTTGCTGCTGGATTTTATTTAGATGCAACAAAAGATCCATGGTCTAAAAACTATAGAATGGGAAGCTATGTTAATAAAGAGCTTTATGATTTAATATTAAGTGCATTTGAGAATGTAGTTGATATAGACAGAATTGGTATAATGGGCCATAGGTATGTTACCTCTACTAACTTGTTTTTATTGTTATTTAAAAAAAAAAATTTCCTCATATAAGCTAAGATGATAAATAATACATTTTGAATTGATTTGGTTATTGGATTGGAACATTCAAATAAAAGATATATTTATTTGGTATAAGATGACTTACTTATGATTACCTTCAATGTTAAATCTTTGTTTAATTTTCAGTATGGGGGGTCATGGTGCTCTCACTTCCGGATTAAGAAATCCAGGCCAATATAAATCAATAAGTGCATTTGCTCCTATTTGTAATCCAAGTGCCTGCCCATGGGGTGTTAAAGCTTTTACTGGTTATTTAGGTGAAGATAAGAGTAAGTGGGTGGAATGGGATGCTACCGAACTTGTAAAGAAGTATGATGGACCACTACTTACTCTTCTAATTGATCAGGTATATTTTAATTTTTATGTATTTCACTTTGTGTATGTTTAATAAATAATGTTTTCAGATAAATTATAAGGAACATACCTATTTTCAAGTTTGCATAAAAGAAAGAAAAATTACTTTTTGCTTACAGGGTGCTGCTGATAACTTCTATATCCAAAAGCAACTTATGCCAGAAAATCTTGTTGAAGCATGCCGTTCAGTTGGAATGCCTGTCATTTTGAATTTACGCGAGGGATATGACCATTCCTATTATTATATTTCCACTTACATCGGTGAACATTTTGATTTCCATGCAAAAATACTGAAGGCATAATTTTTTTAATGTACAGTTCAAGACTGGTCCTTTAAAGTCAAATCTGATATGGCTATATCTGAAAGCCTCTTCAAAGTGTGCAATTGTTAGTGATAAATGTATATACATATTTTTAAACAGGTAAACTTTTTATTAATTCCATGTAAATATGCACTCAAAGTGTAAGTTTTCTATTCATTGTTGGTGTTGTTGCTTTATTTACCCCAAATGCATTTAAGTTTTGTAATTAATACAGGTGTAGGAATAAAAAAGTTTTTAAAACTGTAAGTTTGTTTTATTGATAACAATGCCATTTAAAATATAATCTATCAAAATAATTTGAAACATGAAGTCACAAAAGTGGTTTTGTAAACAGTTTTGTGTTTAAATTAATACTATCTAGAATCTTTTCTAAAGTTGTGGTAATATTGAAGAAACTTATCTCGATTACCCCAAACATGTAGGCCGCCCCAATAACACCATGCCCTGCAAAATTTTATATTAAGATATTACAATAGCAATAGTGAAGTGAACTTGATGTAATCCTTAAAGTCCTCTCAATTCTTAGTGCTGATGTCGCAACCTTCGAATCGCGCGGTATAAAAAACCTCATTGAGATCAGGATCACTGTCGGTGTCTCTATTGGAAGTTACAGAGTATGGGTTGTGATCTTTTTTACAAATGAGAATTAATAAAAATACCTTTTTTTGTGTGTTAAAAATATAGGGCTGGTACAAGAGTAATATTTTATTTTAAATATATATTTATATGTATGAAAAATTGAAGACTTTTTCTAATAAACTATGAATTAATACATATATAGATATACATACATGCCAAATAATGCTCCACCTAAATGAGCTGCATGGTCAAAGAATTTCCACCCCAAGACAACTCCAGCTAAGTCAACACTCATAATAACTTTGATTGCCTAAAAACAATAATAACATCTCGAAAATTATAAACTTAATTAGCTTAGTCATAAAATTATTATGTGAGGGTAAAACTATGAATTTATATAATCCTTAAAAATGAGCAGACATGCACATAGCATGGTATAAAATTAATGTCCCCTTTAAACCTTAAATAAAGTTCTGTAATACTCACAGTGCCAGCAGCAAAGGTGTACATTGGCAAGAATATTATGCTCAGTTTGGTGTCAGGATATTGCACACATACATAAGACAACACTGCCATGATTGCTCCTGACTGAAAATAATATATTACAGTATTTCCTATATATGTAATGTTTTATGAATAATACAAGAATAAACATACTTAGCCTTTTATAAGGTGAGTTAGTTCAATTATAAATTGAAAATATTTGTAGAAAATATGTAACTCACCGCACCAAGACTAAGACCAGGCTGATTTACCATAACTTTGTACAGAACACTGGCAAAGCTGCTGATTACACCAGCACTCATATACATTGCTACAAATTGCTCTTTTCCCAATGCTGCAATGCCAGCTAGATGTACAAAATGCTTAAATAATTATGGGTAAATACTAAATACATTGTAAACTCTATACAACAACACTCAAGGGACTGTGCCTATTTTTACATTACAAAGATTTGCCATTAAATGAATAGAAAATTCTGTATTAGAAAAAGAAAGTGTATTTCACTCTAGTGTTAGTAACTACATAAAAACAATTCGTATTTGAACGCTATTGAGTTGTCTGTTATTTTTGTTACTGTACCAGTAGTTAGGTTGTATTATTTTATTTATTTAAAGCATATCTTGCGATATTAAGGCATCTTCGTGATAAAGCACATGCAAGCATGCGCAATTTGTAATAAAAAGATAGGATTTCTTGGAAAGTTTGGTATGTATGAAGAGTAGCGATAGTCGAGTTTATTTCTCCCTAGGACGATAAAGCGACAAAACAACGTACACAGCTCCGCAGTTTTAACTAATTTCGGCAAATTAAAAATAACTTTTTAGTATTTAATTGCTGTTGTTATCGAGGGTGGGTTAATGCTATGTCGAGTGTATCATTGTATGTTAATATGCACATTAAAACTGCCTTGAATGGTAAAGGATAATCGTGAGGCAACTGGCATGCCTTAGACCAAACAATTTGATGTGTTTCATATGCAGAAGGCTGATCACCTACCTATGCTGATTAGATTAAAAAAAAATAGTCACAAAACCGATAAGGAAGCATAATGTTTATCTTACCTATCATAAATTGTATAAAACTATAGTTCTCAACATACCTGGCATGAAACTGTATAAAACATACATATTTGCAGCTAAGTGAAATCCTGAATAATGACTAAATGTTGATAGAACCATAGGAAGACACACTGCACCTAAAACAGTTTTTATTTATATATTAGGAATATGTTTAATAGCAAATTTAAAATCTTAAATTTAATAAATTCTACACTTAGTAAAGAATAAAATACATATACTTACTACCAGAGGGATTTGAGCAGAAATATCTAATCATAAAAGTTTGTAAAGCTCTCACACGCCAGGCTCCAAAAACTAATAAATTAGCAGCAAGGATAGGATAAAATACTTTTTCACTAGTTCTTAATGAATCCCACCATTGTCTAATTGGACCTGGCTCAGATTTCTGTAAAACATATAAAAAAATATTTAATTACTCTTTACCATTTCATAGCATATAAATGCATAGCTGTAGGTATTACACCCTATTCAAACAACATGCATGCAGCATGTGCATTTTAAATTTAAAAAAAAAGTTGCATGCTTAAACTCAAACTCAAAATATCTTTATTCAAGTGGGTAACCAAGTACACTTTTGAATCGTCAAGTTAAATTAATCGTAAATTTACATTTACTACCAGTTCGCAAGTCAAGGGCGTAGAGCGGGTAAGAAGAACTGGCAAGAAACTTTCCGCCACTCTTTTTAATCGCCAAGTATTGTCATACAAATTGTTTGAACTGGAGCAATTCAATCCCAAGGATTAGGATCATTTAAGTAGTCCTCAAATTTATAAAAAGCTTTGTTGATTAACTTAAAAGAAATGTAAGGTTAAAAATTATATTTTAGCAAATTTTCACACCATACCTGAGAGTTTCGCCTTTGATGAGAATTGAGCCAGCTATTTGGTCTTCTAAGAAAAGCTTTTGCATGAGATCTAACATTTTCATATTCCCATATAACACAGCCAGCTAAACTTACTCCTGTTACCTATATAAAATTCATTATTCACTAAGATATTAAGTTAAATACTACTTGAATAAAAAATTATTATATTGCATTTGCAATGATGCAATGTTTTAAAATATTTAATATGGAATAGGTAAAGCAACTTACCCCTACAGTAAAAAGCAGTGGCTTTACCAATGAACTAGCATTCAAAGGACCCGATTCAATTTGTGGGATTTCTAGTGGGTTTGGTTCAATAATGGGGCGTCGTGCACTGCGCCGCGAATTATGAAAAGGTTGTCTTAGTTGGAACTGAGCATATCCAATATTATTAGGCTTCTTCAACAACATGGGTTTGCTGTAATTTAAACGATAATAAGCAATTAACGTTTGGCTCTAGGCATTTTGAATCCAAGTCGATAATATTATATTACCAGCAAAACTTTAATTCTGCCGCAGACCAAACATTCCGAACAAACATAATTTGATATTAACTTGGTTTTTTCAATAGTACATAGTGTTTCTACAAGACACAATTTTTTAAATAGAGTTTAAAAGAATATTGTAGTTTCGGTTTTATGGAACTGAAATAGAATTGGAAAATATTAAAAATTTTCTGTTTTGTTTTTGACTGATGAATGATGATTACTAGTAAGTTGTAGTTTTTTTTGATATTGACTGATAGACTTTGATATGTCAAACATCAAAGTCATATGATATAATAATTCGGTAACTGTTTTTTTTTGAGAACAACGTTAACTGTTTATTTTCTCTAATTCTACAGATTCTGTGATGAAGAAAAATATGAAATTAGTCCAAACGGCGATTGTGTTACTGGTTGCGTTTTGGTCATAGAGAAATTATATATATGTCGCAGCCAACTAGCTTAATTAGCCATTCAATTAACAGCCTAGCCGTTTAACTAAACGGCCGACGGCGCCGTTTAGCTAGCGGCCTGAAATATATTCAGCCGTACCGTTGGTTACACCATTTAAGAAACTGGCTGGCTAATGCTTAGGCCATTCGTACGATAGAGTCAATATTTAGCAGAAATAAAAAAGATGAAACATATCACATAAAAATATTTCTATTAAAATTAAATTGCTTGAGTTGACTCAAATTTCATTATTATTGTCACTATACTCTTCCACTGTACTTGATGTTTTTCATGAAACTTTGTTGAACAGTTTCGAGTTTGAGAGTGGCAGAAAGTGGAATTAAATTTAAATTAACAGTCAACAAGCTGGGCAAGTAATGAAACGTGATCGATCGAAGTCATTTGTCTAGCCGTTTAATCAACTGGCTGAACATCTTTCAGGCTGCTAGTTATGCTAGGCCAGCTATGCGCCGTTTAGTTCAACGGGCTAGGCTGTTAATTGAACGTCTATTAAGCTAGTTGGCTATGACATATATATACTGCTCAAAACAATTACGGGAACAAAACTTTAAAGTAGAACTAAACTTTTTACTTAAGGTTTTAATTATTACTGGCCACTAGATAATGTTAAGGCATTGTCGAAGAAAATAAAAAACAAAAGGGCATCGGCGTTTTGGTTAGTAGTCCTATAATAAAGTGGCAGTTTGTCTAGAAACACCTAAAAACAAAGTGACGTCTTTGAATTTTCATTACTTTCTAATCACAGAAAACACATTTTAAGTAGTTTTTTTCAATCTTTTATTTATTTAATAACAGCACAATGGCCAAACTTAGACTAAAAACAATAAACAATACAATAAAATACAATTAAGATTTACAATACAGGGTAGCATTACCCTCTTATCCCCTCCAGGTACACTCTGAAAGCCGAGTATACCACCCCCATAAGCTTTTGAGTATTAATAGAAATTGAAGTGAGCCTTTTGAGTATTGTTATTCACTGAAGCGAGTGAGTTTAGGTCATAATGCCAGATCTGACTGAATTGCATGTCTCCCGAGCTATCGCTTTGCTTGAAGTGGGTCGAACTATGCGTTATGTAGGAAATGATCTAGGAGTAGCCCCTTCTGTTATCTACAGACTTTGGAAGCGATACCGTGAGACGGGAGAATACTCACGAAGGCGTGGTCAAGGTCGAAAGAGAAAAACTACACGTTTGCAAGATTGCTACATCGTCAACTGTGCTTTACGTAACCGCACCACAACTGCAAGAGATCTACAAAATACACTAAGGACGGCTACTGGTGTAGAAATTTCCGACCAGACGGTAAGAAATAGGTTGTTGGAAGCCAATTTGAGATCACGCCGACCAGTTCGGGCTGTGCGTCTAACAATTCAACATAGACAAGCTCGCCGACAGTTCGCGCAAAATCACGCTAATTGGCAACTTCGACATTGGAGGCCAGTGCTTTTTACTGACGAATCACGATTCCGTCTAACACGTTGCGATGGTCGTCTCCGTGTTTACAGACGCCCAGGCGAGCGATACAGTGCAGCAGCAGTCCAGGAATATGACAAATTTGCAGTGGCGGATTTATAGATTTGCCGCCCGTAGGCTATTCAATTTTTGCCGCCTCTAAATTTTGATATCTTAGTCCACAATCATATCAATTTTCTATCAATAAAATTCCAACATTATAATTTGTGCTCCATCATCCTCGTTACATCAACTTTTCCCATATAGTTATTATTATTGAGAACTATGGTACCGTGTTAGATCCTTGATTATTTTTACAGCAAAGAATTATCAAAAAACATTATTTTAAGGAAAAAATATCTCAATCGTATACTACTTTTAAAGTAAGGTAAGGTATGTCTTAAAACTATACAATACTTACAAAATATGAATTAAGCTTACGTAAAAAACATACATTTGGCGAACGTTGATTAACATTTATTATTACACTCACAGTTTAAAAACAATACAATAAATATATCTTTTCTTTATTATTTGTTAGCATTATGATTTAAGTTAAATTATAAAAGCATTACAATACTTTTTTGCGAGACTTTGAATTCGCAAAATCATTTATTATATCGTCGTACGAAATCTTGTTCATTAGCTCTGACTCTATGCACAAGAGAGCTAAAGCGTTTAGCTTTTCTTGACTTAAAGTCGATCGTAGGTAGTTCTTTACTCTCTTCAAGAGTCTACTGATGTGAACATTTAATTTAAATAATTCGTGTACGACATTAGCGCTTAAGGCCTGCTCATTTGGATTTTCCAAACTTTTTCTTACTGCAAATAAAATAATTAACTGATAAAATGTATCAATTTTCTAACGAGCAAATTGTCACACTTCATATTTTGTGGAGGGATTTATAAGATATTGAACTAGTTTTTTATTTAATAAAAATTAGTCAATTTTAGTCAGTATTTTTACTAGACCATCGATATTATATCGATTGACTTGGATAAGCAGATCTCATAATTATTAGGTACACGGAGAAAAATTATAGCAGTTATCAGTGAAGAATATAATATGTAAAAATTACTAAATTTCGATTATAATATCGAATCGCGATATTCTAAAACTTAATAATCATTTATGTATAATTATTAAAGCTAGGAATTGTTCATGCAGAGATGTTGAAATATTTATTAATTAGCACTGTATATGAGAATATTTCGATTTTTGTTAAATATTTTAATTTCTCTCCAATTTTCGAAATTCGTATTATGTGTGTGTGTATAATAAATTTTTTTTTTAAATTGTAAACCGAAATAAAAAATTTATGAACCAAATTTGCCGCCCCTTAAAATTTGCCGCCCTAGGCTCCAGCCTACTCAGCCTGCTGGTAAATCCGCCACTGCAAATTTGGATGTGGCTCTGTGATGGTTTGGGGCGGAGTTAGTTTGGACGAGCGCACAGATCTCGTCGTTGTTCCCGGCCGCTTGTGTGCTCAAACTTACATTGAAAATGTGCTCGAAGATCATGTTTGGCCCGCAGCATATGGTATGGGCCCAGATTTTCTTTTAATGCAAGATAATGCCAGGCCGCATACTGCAGCCATCACATCAGATTACTTACGACAGCAGGAAATCCGTGTAATGGAGTGGCCTTCCATGAGCCCTGACCTAAATCCAATTGAACACATTTGGGAGTTGCTTGACAGGCGCATCCGGAAGCGTCCGATTGCACCTCAAACACTGCAGCAGCTCACTGAAGCGTTGATTGAAGAATGGGAGCGAATTCCACAAGAAGATATTCGGAGGATCATACGAAGCATGCCGCGTCGTTGTCAAGCCGTGATTAGGGCTCATGAAGGCCACACACGTTACTGAAAGTCACTAAAGACGAATATTCAAAAACGATATAAGAATATTTTTTTTTGATGGACCTTTTTTATCACCAATTAGTTTTTCGTCTACAATGCACATTTTAATTTTTTTTTAATAAATAAAAATACAAATTGAATTTTTTTATTAATTGTAGTAATTAACAAATTAACAAGGTAAAAAATAGCGTACAAGTTAATTTAAATCTAATTTTAGTTTAAGCAATAGAAAGGAGAAAAATCTTGTTCCGCTAATTGTTTTGAGCAGTATATAACGGTTTTGGTTTAAAAATCTACTTAGTTAACGTCATACGTGATTTAAAAAAGGTGCATTTAAGACTACGCGGTCGGGCCAAAGAATAGCCCGACTACAAAAAGATTTTTATTTTTTTTATTAAGATTACATAAACGTTAATATATGTTTTTCACACGATTCTAAAAACCATTTCGGAATATTTTTTAGTGACTATTGAATCTATACAAATTGTTTTTTCGATTCTGTCTGCTTTTCAAATTAATACCTATTAAATATTCATAATTTTAACGCTTCTCTTGGCAAGATGGCCGATCACCGCTCCATCTACTCCATCACTTTTTTAAAGGCATGTTATAATATAATGTAATACCGATTACTCTCAATAACACTTTATTTTACATACTGTCAAATTCAAATTCAAAAATCATTTAATCATATAGGTAACACATTGTACACTTATGACTTGTCAGTAAAGAAATACATATCAATGCTTCTAATTTTACATTTAGTGCCAGTTCTCAAATCAAGGGCGTAGAACGGAAGAGAAGAACTGGCAATAAACTCTCCGCCACTCTTTTTAATCGCCATGTTTTTTTTTTTACACAACGTTTGTAAGGAGCTGCAACCATTAAACCAAGTTCCACATGACATCTTAAGTAATTAATAATAATAACATAAATTAAAAACAAAGAGTTGTCCTGTATCAGCAGGAGGCATGGTGAAATAGGAGCACGCACTTACATTCTCGTGGGAACGCAACACGCAAACACATAGTCGAAATAATTAACATCACCGCATACACGAATTCAAGTACGACCAGTCACCACAAGTAGCACCCGATCACGAGTAAGACGCATGGCCAGCCAACGGCCCCCTCGCCATTTTTCAGGGAGAGAGACAACCCGACGCATGGACGCCGCCACAAGCAATGACATTTAAGCGAGCATGACGATCCTTGAAATGTGGACTTGGCTACATAAGAAAATAATAATAATACTGAAATAATTTGATACCACATGGATCACTTTACATATAAACAGTCGTGGATGTTGACGATCGCCCCAGAGTCTGGAAATGCAGCCGAGAGATTCAGTCGCGTTACCTATTTATACTGGAGTCTCTCATATCCAAGCACTAGGATCGTTTAAATATTCATTTATATTATAATAAGCCTTAGCAAGCAGTTTTACTTTTACGTCAAGTGTCAACTACACTCAAAGAACAAAATGGCGGGATGAGTAGCTTGTTTTTTATTTTTCTCCATGAAATTGTATAATTTAAAAGAAAAATAATAGTAATTAAATTACCCATGCTAAACAAATATATATATAAAGTAATAGTCCACCTAATCACCAATCGTTTTGGTAATCTTTTTAGGCTATCTATTATAGGGTTTTCGACGCGAATAAAGAATAATTTTGACCTGAAAACTAATATTGTTTACGCAAATAATAGTATTATTTTTATTATTCACATAATGGTTTATATTGGGTAAATGAAAGACTTTACACAATTGGATTTGGCAGACATAACTGAAAGGTTCCTTCTAATAGTACGTAGGCTAATTAAAAAAAAACAACAACAAGTTTGGCGCAAGTGAAAAATCCATCATTAACACAACTCAATTCAAGAATCACTTATTACCTAGATGATTTAAAATCATAGTATACAGTATACTATGATTTATATATTCATAGTAATAAAAATTACAAATTTAATATTATACGAGTGTTTAAACACATTTCAAAACTTGAAAAGTGCCACGATGGATACTTGATAAACCACAATCCCTAATTTAGTTTATTCTAATAATATGTAATAAAGGAACAACATGTAGAGAGATTAAGGATATAAACGTTCTATTAAAACTGCTTAATACAAGGACGTTTGACATCGTAATTATTAATCCATGACGTAGGTCTGAAGACGCTATTGCTGTAAACTGAATTCTACCTATTGATGTCAATATTAAGTACATGTTGAGTATAATAAGGTTTACGTACTCCACTGTTATAGGACTGTTTCTATGGGGTTTACAAACAGCCGCGCCTTTGGTTCCTTTAATAAAAGCCGATAGGGGGTTTTTAGAGGGGTGATACTCGCGCATGCTCCATTCAAACGTCTCAAAAAACCTCGGCCCGGTGCGTGTTCAGTACAGCTGAGCGCTTCAAGTGCAAAAAAAATATTGAATACCAAGGAGAATAATATTCTTCAATTTTAAAAAGTAAGTACTTAATTATTGTTTATAAATATTTTGATGTGAAAATCGTATGTGCGTAAATAGCATCGTTTAGTGGATTTTTGTCTTATTCGTTATAAATTATATGACATAATTGGCATAGTATAAATGTTTGATAGTCATATACTCGTAAATGTGATTTTAAGTGAAAGTGTTGCATTTTAATCTTTTTTGCACAGTTTCGTCATCAAAAATAAATCGATATTATTTCGTGCCATGTGGAAGCATATTCGCAATGCCATAAGGTTAGAATAACTTTAGATGATATCCACGTTAAAGACACTACATTTAATGTATTTAATTAATCATTACCTTAATAATTTAGTCTTATTATTATAGTCTACAGTAGTCTGCCTTCTAAATAGGCATGTAGTAACGTCACGATGTAATCGTTTTAATATACACTTCTGGACACATCTATTGGCCCACCTTGCATTTTCAGTTTCTTTTGGTCGTACCTAAAAATTTATATTAGGTCGAGTAAAAAGTTTTTATGCAGTTTTGAACCTGATACATTTTACCATCTTTTTCGATCGTATTGTTTTAAATTTGAATTTAGAATACCACACTACATGGAGATACGCCTAACAAGTCGGGTATGCGCCTTGATGAAGTCAGTTGATTTTTGAATAAAAAACGTGTTTTATCAAATAAAGGTTTAATTTAATAACGCGTGTTGCCTCCATGGGCATCTACGACAGCTCTCTTACGATTAGGCATAGAGTTTATCAACCGCTCTATGAAATTTTGAGGGATCATCTCCCATTCCTCTTCTATGGCAGTTTTTAATTCCTGCATCGTCTGGGCAACTAGCTGACGAGCCCTAACACGTCTTTTTAGCTCGTCCCACATGTGCTCAATTGGGTTCATATCTGGGCTTCTGGCTGGCCAGTCCATAACTGCGATTTTCACATCCCGAAGATATTCTCTGACGATGCCAGCCGTAAGGGCTCTTGCATTATCTTGCATAAAAAGGAAATTTGGGCCCACATAGTCCACGTATGGCATCACGTGAGGTTCTAAGCACTCAAGAATGTACCTTTCAGCATTTAATGTTGGCAGCCGTGGTCCCGTAACAACCTCAAGTTGAGTTTTGCCGCTCGCGGATATAACGCCCCAGACATTCCATGAGCCACCGCCATAAGCAACCCTCTCTTCAAAGCAGCATTGTGCAAAACGCTCTCCCTTACGTCGGTAGACCTTCTTCCTTCCATCATTGCCATGTAACGCAATTTTAGACTCATCAGAAAAGAGTACACCGTTCCAGTGCTGCTGAGTCCATTTTAAGTATGAGCGCGCGAAATGAAGGCGCGCTATTCGGTGGACTCGCGTTAGTTTTGGGCGGCGGCGACTTCAGGCGAAGTATCCATAGATTATTGATAAAACCTCATCTTATTGTTAAGAATAAGTAATGTTTGTTTCAAAACCAAAGAGAAAAATCACACTTTCAAGAATTAAATCCAACTAAACCAATAAAATCAAGTTTTCTTAGTATTCGATTGTTTGATATCAATGAGCAGGCTCCAAATTGTCTTTTGTTTCTTTAAATTTTGTGTTCGAAAAAAATAAAAAAAATATTGAATGCAATTATGAATGTGCCAGGTTCAAAACTGCATAAAAACTTTTTACTCGACCTAATATACATTTTTAGGTAGGACCAAAAGAAACTGAAAATGCAAGGTGGGCCAATAGATGTGTCCAGAAGTGTATTAAATGCTATGTGAGTTCCGTAATATTCTAAATTTAAATAACAGCGACAAACGCGGGATTAATCTTCTTTAAATCTCGTTAGGCCGCGGAATTTAATAACAAACGTTCATCAAACGGAGCAAATTAATTAATTGCCGCAATTATCTTGCCTTTTGTAAAGCATTCTTTTGTCCGAACGTTACACAGATCATTATTTAATAAACTAAGAATCTATCTAGGAATTCGTATTTTACTCTTAAGATAGGTCCAATACTGCGTGATTCTATCTGAGGAGATTTTATCGGGTAAGCGATAAATCTATCAATAGATCTATAGGGTATTTTAACCTTGAACTAGTTGTCTATGTTGTACAAACTAATTGGTTATTAAGCTGCGGCATATTAATTTAAGCCATTAATAGATTTTAAGTTTGCTCTGTCTATGTAGTCCGGTGACGATATTTTTTCTATTTTAGTAAATTAGTCAGTCTTCCTGCTTTCTCATTGTCTGAGGCATGCTGTCTTCTTTCGTTCAAATCCACAACCTCACAGTCGTTAACCTCTCGGCTAATAATGTTCTGTTTAAATATACTTTTTCAGAAATGAAGCCTTTAAAAGAACCGCAATATTTTCCAAGAAGGTTTTCGAAAATATCGACGTTGTGACGCACGCCTCTTAAAAACTAAATTTGAAGAATATAGTAGACCCGAAAGATCGTAAGGTTAAGAATGTTAAAGATTTTTAAATTTTGTAAAAAAAGTTGGATGTCAATAATTTTTTAATTGTTAATATTTTAATAAGTGCAAGTAGCATTGTGTCACTGTGAGCTAATTTCTGCCTTTTAACGATGTTTTTGTTAAAAAGTTAGAAATAAGAGTTGTAGAAATGGAACCATACGCCGATGATTTATTATGGCTGGTGGTGTGTGGGTTTATCGTGGCGTTCATATTAGCGTTTGGTATTGGCGCCAACGATGTGGCTAACTCGTTTGGAACCAGTGTTGGCTCCAAGGTTCTAACGTTGACGCAGGCATGCATCCTCGCAACAATATTCGAAATCGCTGGAGCAGTTTTAATAGGTATGTGACTAAAAACTTTATCATGTGTAACTTATTAAACATATTATTAATACTAAAAAATTTGGTATTCAATTAAAATATTCAAAAATTTATCCTTTATTCATAAACATACTATATAAAGGTAAAGCCTTTATAAAGGTAAAATCTTTTGTCTTTTTAAATTTTGTGCCCCTTTGTAATCTTTTGTCCTTTTGACTTTTGTGTCCCTTTGAAAATAAAAAGGTTATTTTTACATTTTGCCACTTACACTGATTCTATTATTTTCCATATAAAATATCTCAAATTATATATGCGCTGTCAAAAACTTCATTTAAGTAGAAAAAAATATCTTTCGAAGTTAGGTTCATGCACGACTAATTATGCCATAAAACCTATTAACGAAAAGTCGATAACGTACACATTTCCGGATTCATAGCATTAATAACGTCTTAATGATAGCATAAGTATATCTATGGATTTATTAATGTTTCTTGTTTTTAGGTTATAAAGTATCAGATACGATGAGAAAGGGCATTCTGGATGTCTCACTTTATGCTGATGGCGGGGAGAGGTTGTTAGCTGCTGGGTGCCTCGCTGCTCTAATTGCAGGTAATATACCTGCGATATATATATATCGAGATTTTTAGGGCAGACTTAATACCCGGATATTATGTATGCAGTTGCATAGTACTGGTGTTCCTTCGTTTTCCTGTCTAACACATGAAGTCAGTTAACAGTCTTCGAAATTTCTTTTGTTAATAATTTTGCAGCCCGCATTTTTAACCATGATAAGTTTTGTCTAGTAGACTAATTGTGATTTATAAATAATCTAAACCGTGATCACCGTATTATACGCTAAGCGGTTAGTTTCTTATGAAATGTTATTGATATCAGCCCTGCGATTCTGTTACTCACTTTTCGAACTCACACAGCGGTTTTCGCATCGGCGGTCGCTCTCAAATCAGTCGTTAAGCAGTTATTTTATGATTTGGCATTCTGAAAAGGTGGGAGCTTGTAGTTTATTGTTTATCAGAATGCCAAATCATATAATGACTGCTTCACGACTGATTTGAGAGCGACCGCCGATGCGAAAACCGCTGTGTGAGTTCGAAAAGTGAGTAACAGAATCGCAAGGCAGTAAAGTCTAAAATATTGAAAGCAAATAAATAGAAATTTTTATCTTTTGTACCTATGCTTCGTTACCATTCAGCCACTATTGATTCTCATTTCTTTGCTAATATGATCCTAGACTCTGCATCTACTAAACCCATTTAGAAATTTCGTCTACCAATAACAAGTCACGTTAGATATTTGTGAGTGTAGGCTGAGGCTATAAATTAAAAAAAAAAATAAACGACACGAACGAAAACGTTTCTTCCGAACGCTGTCTTAACGATGTGAGATATATGATTAAGTTCTAGAAGTTGTAGAACTTGATAATGCTTCAGCAACAGCATATGTTTAACTTTTGTAATTACTTAAAAAGTCATGTGGAACATGGTGTAATGGTTGCAGCTCCTTACAAACATTGTGTAAAACAAAAAACTTGGCGGTTAAAAAGAGTTGCGGAGAGTTTATTGCCAGTTCTTCTCTTCCGTTCTACGCCCTTGATTTGAGAACTGGCAGTTAATGTAAAATTAGAAGCATTTAATATGTATTTCTTTTTTGACGTTCATAAGTGTACATTGTGTTACCTATATGAATAAACGATTATTACTTTGACCTTGTAATATTTAAAATAAGTCCTCCGATGCGTCTATCTGTATGTCTGTTCGCGATAAACAATTACAAAATATTTATGAGGAAGTTTAGGTTAAGTGAATAATTTTTCAAGGTTTCCTTTCGCGCGAAGCTGGGGTAGTAATAAATAATAATACTTATACTTCACATAAAATAGGTGTTAAATATTTTGTACATATGACTGGCGTGACACGTTGTTAATAAATGACAGAAAAAACATTCTTAAATTAATTTCGAAGAGATGTATATAAACACTGCATATTAATTTAGGAATCTCAGTGATAACAGCTATCCAATAACAATTGATAACACGCAGCCGTAATGTTTAGGCGCAACCTGGCTCATTGTGGCCACGGCTCTTCGCCTGCCCGTGTCTGGAACACACTCCGTGGTGGGTGCTACTGTCGGTTTTACTCTGACAGCTAAAGGTCCAATTGGAGTGCGATGGTCTACGCTCGGTGCTATAGGTATGTATATTTAAGGTTCTTAAATTAAACGGTAAATATTTATCTGTATCCGTTTTGTTAAATTATTATTAAAAAATAAACGAATGTCTGTGTGCCCGTATGCAAATGCCGTGGTATTTACAATTGGTAGATTATGGAAATACTTCATAACTTCTTTATTAAATTATGTAATTTATTTTTCAATTAATTACAAACGTGTAGAAGATAGTTTTTGTATGCATTACGCATATAGAAATTTAAAAATAATAAATTATAACAACACATTGTAACAATTCAATGTTTAGTGCAGGAAGTTCACCAAGAATGTTGAAACAACTAGTGCTTTCATCTTTGTGATTTTCTATTTATACAAAGCTATAAATATATATCTATTGTAAAATAAGGTTTCTAAGATGTACACGCGTTTTATTGATTAGTAAATCAATCAGAGAGATGAAAATGTAAAACGATGTGATGGTACCTACGCTCTATTTGAATATGATTGCCCAGCAGCATCTCTTGTATAATACTCGTACGCGTTGAGACGCAACATAATCCGTCATAGTATTGTCTTTGATTAACATAACTTTTATTCATTTAATAAAACACTATTTTGAAACGTCGGATAAATTTAAAATTATGTTAAATAGTTGTAAATTTATAATAATACATAACTTCAATCCGGTCAAAATAGTGTTTTATTAAATAATCCGTCTTTCAATCGGATGTATTGACATGACATGATATTAGACAAATGACAAGCGAAACGAACGTTTCATCTTACGTTTTAGTTTCAGTCACACCCCAGGGGCCTAAGACAGAGTCACTTTTTAACAGGATTGACCTACAAACACCAAACACCATTCCCGAAAAATGGCCAAGAACAAGGGATTCAATAACACTAGCTGATAACAAATTAAAAGCCGTTCTCGCAGCTATGCCAATTCAGATTAGGGTAAAAAACCGCCTTGACCGGGGAAGGCGAGGTCCCTCAATTCGTACATTGCTCACTCCAGTGAGCTTCCGTACTGGCCTTTAAGACACCATGTGGCGGCCCAAGCCAAGGTCCAGGCACGCAGGAGATGCCCTTGTGCTAGTTTCGGGATGATGCCATTCCATCCAAACTCGCCAAAACAGCCCGATCTGAGGTCAAGGCCCTTCAGGCCAATAGCGAGCTCGTCTTTGTCGTTTGATAGTGTATCGAGCGCCAGTTCTTTTTGTAAAGCAAGTACAGACAGCTTTATAATTTGAATATAGCAATGAACATTTATGTTTTTAACTCCTAAAGCGTGTTAATAAAATAGTATTGATAAGAATTTTGAACATTTCAGTGCTGTCCTGGTTTATTTCCCCCGTGTTGAGTGGTGCGGTATCAGCGGTTTTATTCTGGCTGGTACGCAGGTTCATTCTCCGAGCATCTCAGCCCTTAACAACTGGATTAAAAGCCCTCCCGTTCTTCTATGGAGCCACTGTCGCTGTTAATGTGTTGAGTGTTGTACACGATGGGCCGAAACGTAAGTATTTAAATATTTAATATTGTGGCAATATTTAATATTAATAATGACCCATATAATTAAGTAGGTATATGTATATACAATCCGTACCGTAGGTGATGTCCTTTCCTTGTATAATAATAGTAAAATTTATATTCATCATAATTGTCATGTATTGTAGAACAGTCTGGTAACTTATTATACCGTAGAAAGTGCATTATATAAGATGTGGTGTACTTTAATAAATAAAGCAGCGCTACGTATATTGAGAGGACTACATCGAACTTTGCATACAAAAACGTCAGGATCCATATCACTGTCCCTATCGGAAGTTACATAGTAAGGGCGCTGCTTAACCGTATATTATAACTTTCATCACAAGAGATTATAATATTCGCCCTACACCCTAATGCGTTTAAACATTACGTTAACGTTTTGTTCGTGAATACTTTCGTGTTTCCTATTCTTGACTGACTTCAAAAAAGACGGTTATCAGTTAGATTTGTATGTACACTAGATTTGGATAATCAGGTATGATGATTTAGGCTTCCAAGAACGCATGATAAACTTTTGTTTGTTTGTCCGCAAATTTAATTTAATTATTCCAACTAAGGAATAATTCAAGTCAAAATCGGTTCGGTTTTTCTGCCTGGTATTTGACTTTTGAAATTATTCTAGGCGTTAGTTATGATTTATCGGTTATTTCAGTTTTGGCGATGGATAAGATTCCACTGTGGCTGGCTCTGGCAGGTTCCGTAGCTCTTGGTGCAGTGATTGCTGTCTGTGTTAGACTATTCCTAGTGCCATACTTCCGCAGGAAACTTATTCCCAAACCAGTTAATTTTGTGCTCGGCGTGTCTAATGGTAAGTATAATCGCTACAACCCTTAATGGCTCATGGCCCCAGATTGCATTTGTTTCTTTGATCATTTTTATTTCATAGACAAGAATGGTCAGCCTTCTGTCACGTATAGTAGATTTTTGATTTGAGACATGTCGATTGTCGATGCTCTCACGATGTTTTCCGAGGGAGTGATAAATGCGCACATAAAAAGTCCATTGGTGCAGCTGGGGTTCCAACCTGCGATTATGATAGTCCCAAGGCCAACAGTGCACTTTATATTGTTAAAAAATAAATTTTTATATTATAACTATTTTAAATGTGTGCATGGCCTCCGAAGCGAGAGACATTAAGCGCTTCCTGTTCTGCCAATTGCTGGCTTTTAACTACAGCAGGTCCTCCTCCACTCTGTCGATCCAGCGGTACCTAAGCCGACCTCATTCTGTAAGCTTCCTTCACCGCCCGAACTTGGCCAATGCGCTCAAGAGGCTATTATTAAATCACTCATTTTCAATCGAACAGTTTTTCCCTATTATCACATTATTCACGTATCGTAAACTCATAGAAACAACCCCAGCAAACACACCAACAAACTGCGGTAAAGGCGTTCCCCAGCGTCCGACGTCATTACTTTCTGAAGACGGGAAGGTTCTAGAAGCAATAGCAGAGAGCGCCGAAATGGTTACCCTAAGCGATGCGGACAAAAGTTCCCTCGGCGTCAGAGAAATGAACGTCAGAAACGCTCTATTAGCAACAATGGACGACTGCAGTATTCTCTCCAGAAGTCTTAGCCCGCCTGATAAGTCCCGCTTGCAATTGATAGACGCAGACCCTCAGATAAATACCCTCAAATATATCGATGAGACTCTGAGCTGCTGTAAGAGTCTGGACTCTACTCAGTTGGTGGGGATGGGTGAGAGCTACGACTCGAAAAATGGATTTATGGACTCGTGTGATACAATAGCGAGGGCTGAATTTGGGAGGATGTCTGCGGTACGGGCCATGTCTTGTGCCGTTGAATTTGATACTCCAAAGATTGATAGGGTAAATATTATGCGTAATTCTAATTAACTGTATATTGTTTAATGTTTTACCACTGACCCAGAAACCGTACATATTAAAAACCAAATATAATTTATTCGTACAGATAACACAATGTCAGTAAAATTAAATGGCAATTATATTTTTTCAATTTATACTGGCAATAAATCATTCTTTCAAATCGCCATTTTTTGCAAAAATATATGTAGGTATACAGTATCTAACAATTACGTATGCTATCCTAGGGGGTCATACTTCAAGTCCCCGAAGGCGGCAGTGCCTGGAGCATAGAGTGCAAGGGCAGAGGCCTCCCAGCCATAACACCAAACTCCAGTGCAGCGCCCTTGCTCCGGGCCTCTACGCCACCACCGGTCGTCCCACCCCCAGCCCCACCGGATACCTTGAGGCTGTTCTCATTTCTTCAAGTGCTCACGGCTACCTTTGGCGCCTTCGCTCACGGTGGTAATGATGTAAGGTAAAATTTTTCAATATTTTAATGTAGTTAATTTATTAAATAATTCCAAACAATAAAAAATATTTTTTGGGGTGGACAACCCTTATCACTTAGGGGTTTGAAAGACAGTAGTTGAATCTCAGACTTACTGAATACGCATTAAAAATTTCATAAGAATCGGTCGAGCCGTTTCGGAGGAGTATGGGAACGAACATTGTGACACGAGAATTTTACATATTAGATATAGTAACACGTGTTTAGAGTCCGATTACTCAAATACATACAGAACAAACATCAAATAACTTTCATTTTTGGCAATAAAATTAAGATTAGTTAGATATTGTTATATACATTATTAGATTTTTATGTAATAAATAGTGTTATTGATTAGCATAAAAAGTTTGAAATAAGTTATTTTTATGAGCATAAATCTCTTTTACAATAACGAGTTGTTTTCTCATATTACAACGTATACTGTTGTTACAGCAACGCTATAGGACCTTTAGTGGCTCTATGGTTGTTGTATTCAGAGGGAGGTGCGCACGCGCGGGCTGAAACACCCCTTGCGATATTAGTATTTGGGGGCATCGGTATCGCTCTTGGCTTGTGGCTTTGGGGTCGAAGGGTCATACAGACGGTTGGGGAGGATCTTACCAGCATAACGCCTGATACGTAAGTATTTCTTTTTTATTTATTTCGTATAATAACATTTCGTAGATTATAAATAATAATATTTTTTTTTTGTAAAAGATACATTTGTGAAACGTATTTTTATCGTTATTACTCTAACTATAATTTTTTTTTAATTTATTTCTTCGATAATAAAAACGCGTGGCATTTTAATTTACAGTAAAGATTTCAATAAATTATTTTGAATAAAATATATAATACTATATTTCAAAAATTCTCTTTACGAAATTTTAATTTTAAAAATAGAATAAAGTAATTTCACCCTTCTCACTCTCTCCTAATCGGTCTCAATCCCTCTCTCCGTTTTCTTCGACAAAAATGCTGCACGTCTTCGTGACATTCCGTCAAAATTTTATCCTCATTAGCCATTGACATACAAAAAACCCAAGATGCACACTCAACGTCTAAAAAACGTCCTCAAAAAATGAGCGCAACATTCTAAATTGTGCGCTCATTTCAAATAGTCTCGCGTCGCTCGCGTCTGGGAGCAGTTGTTAAAAATGCCAAACTTCATTCAACGCACAAACTTCTATACGGCCAACTTCAATGGCTGCTTGTTCAGTGTTAGAACAACGCATTACAGTCTTCTTTTTATTTTAGTCGCATTATAAGAATGACCCTAAGAATGATTCTAATAAGTGGAGTCGATGTTATTTATTTGTGTTTTTTTTTTATAAATAAATTTATGTACTTTTGAACTTTTTTGTGTGTAGTTTTTGACAAATATATTTACGCTATATAAAGTGTAGGTCAGGAGGTAGCCAATTTAACATTTTTTTTAATTTAAAGAAAAAACTTTTTAACCGGATTAAAGTTATGTATTATTATAAATTTACAACTATTTAACATCCAACACCTTTTGTCTTCAGTCACCGTGACCACGCACGCTGTAAAGCACGCGAAACGTCGGATAAATTTAAAATTATGTAAATAAAAAAGTCATGTTCGACTCCACTCAATACCTTGTCCTACCGACCATGGTCGGTCGTAAATTTTATTGCTTTAAGTACACTGCGTTGTAATAACAACTTTAAACAATTCGCGTAAGGTTGATTTTGCAATAATATATGCTTGTAACTTATAGAAAGAGACAGAAATAGTGTTTCGGGACACTATCGAGTGTTACTTTTATTCGAGACTGTGCATCTTGGGTCTTTTGTTATCAATGTCATTAGCCTGAAGAAATTTCACTTCAAAATAATCAGGAAAAATAAGCTAAAGAATATTTACAAAATGAAAAAATGCATTATGCAAATTATTATTAGGCACTAACAAACTATTGTCAGTTCACAATCAAAATACAAAAGGTCCAGTAATGTAATTCGTTGAATAATGTCATAATATATGAAAAATTACAAAATAAGAGTCAAGTGCTATCTACACATACTTAGGTGAATAATAGTTGAACCATATATAAAAATATTGAACTTGTCAAAGGGGCCTAGAACGGAGCATGCTTAACATTAGATAGATTAATAAAATAACACACTCAAAAATAAGAACTAAAGCTACTGATGCCCTAAACTATGCTCTAAAGCTTAAGATGGGCAGGTCATGTAGCAAGACTCTCTGACGATCGATGGACCATAAGGGTGACCAGGTGGGGTGGCCCTATTGGGAAACGAACAAAGACCGCTAGGAGATGGGGACGACATTGCTCAAACGGTGGTCGGCTGGATGCAGCTCACCTAAAATCGAAACCTGAGATCTGAGGAGGCCTACACCTGCGGAAGGGTTCTTGCAAAATAATAATTGGGAAATAGATACAAAAATTAGGAAAAATAATAATAATTTTATTACTTTCTTAAAAATATATTTGTAAAAATAGTATTAAGTTTACTTTGTTGTTTTGCAAGAAATAAAAAGGCTTTTTTATTTTTATATAAAAATATTTATAAGATCTAAAAAAATACAGCAACTATGAAATTTAATTAAAATACTATTAACACGTTAGTAAGGCCGATATCGCCTGCCGCGGTATTTCCGCTGGTGCGGACGAAGAAATTTGTCCCTCTCGTGGTGCGTAACGATTATCTCAGGTGTTTGTAAAAATTCGACAAGGACAAATATATATTTCATCTTGCGGTCAAAATTGTAGGTTTTCCCCATCAAACATAACGGCGGCTTTTTCGACCTACACGCATGCGCTGCTGCATCCGCTGAGTGCGGGTGGGCCTATTCAGCCCACCCTCCCACAGGAGCTGGCGACCCGTACCGACAGAGCGCGCCCCGACCAGCCCTGGATTTGTAACTCACTATTCGAACTCACACAGCGGTTTTCGCATCGGTGGTCGCTCTCAAATCAGTTGTGAAGCAGTCATTTTATGATTTGGCATTCTAATAATCAATAAACTACAAGCTCCCACCTTTTCAGAATGCCAAATCATAAAATGACTGCTTCACGACTGATTTGAGAGCGACCGTCGATGCGAAATCCGCTGGTGAGTTTGAAAAGTGAGTTACAGAATCGCAGGGAGTTGTGTTGTGCTATCTAACTGATCTAACATAGCGTTCGATATTATCAACGATGGCAAGCAATACAAGAAAAATACAAATTTTGGAAAATAGAGTAATTCGCCTTGCAGTTATTGACAGTGATAGTGACAGCAGTGAAGAAATATTTTCCACTAAGAAAAATAAAAGTATTTCTTTTCCAAGACAGGCATACATAAGTAAATAAATACATTTTTCAGTTCCTTTACGAAATTCTGTTTTATTTTCGATATTTCTTGTCCCATCACTACTAAAAAATATTCTAGTGCGTTCAGGTCGATATGGCCTGCGCTTCCTGCTTTATTCTATTTCTTGCGGCAGATTATTCCGGAAGAAGGCATTAAAATAAAAAAAAATTATACATTATTTTCCAAAGTTAGAATTTAATCTATCCTATGTTAGAAAGACCTGCCACACGCAAATATCTTGGGATTTTGGCCCGCCCCATGAAAAAATTGCCCAGTAACTGTTAACAGTTACACAACACAAAAAAAGAAATAACACACAATTATTGTCATAAATCACGCAAAACGTCTCAACCCCACAAACTTAGAGTTAAGCTTGTATTGACGCCCCCTACATGTTCCATAAATAAAATTGCGTCCTCTAAAAAACGCAACCCCAAATGTAACTTTTCAATGGACTATCTCCTAAAGCCGCCAACTGTGTGGCACTTGTAATCAAGTCAATCATTGAACAAATGTCATAAAATATTCTTGTTGTTTATGTTCTATGGAATAAAACTTTTATAATGATCATATAAAAAACTTCATAAAACACCATGATTACAGGGGGTTCACAATAGAGCTGGGTGCTGCGTTAACAGTTCTTAGTGGCCAGTAAGGCTGGCCTCCCTGTATCAACTACTCACTGCAAGGTTGGTTCAGTAGTCTGCGTGGGATACTTCTCGGAGAAGTCTGTTGATTGGAGCTTATTCAGGTATGTCGCAAATTTATTCATTATTTTGCCTCGTTTCGCAAACGATGATGATAATGGTGATGTCTAGTGGTTTCACCCGGGCATTGTAACAAGCTTACAACTAAGATAACATTAGGGGTAGTGGGGTTGCGACGCTGGATTAACAAAAAACTATTGACTTATTAAAGAGTTCGTAAATCTAAGTGACACTTATGTTATTGGACATTATCGAAAACGAAAATGGTTAATTGTGGTTAATAATTATGATTGTGATCAAAACTAAAGGGCTCATTTTGGCTTCAAGTGTGCGATGATTGCTGACATTTTGTTTACGCTTCTAAATATTAACTAAAATATATAAAATAAATATGTAACTAAACTACACAAATACATAATTAAAGTTAGAAACTAAAAATAGGTTCATAATGGTGAATGTCTTAAATGTTTTGCCCTTTTTGCTTTAGGTACTAGAACTAGATGAGGTTAAACGTTCTATAACAATAGTTTATAGAATAAGATTATTTTTTTTTTTTTTTTTTTTTTCGTCGGGAAATGCGTTAAGCATACCCTCCCGGGCACGGTTCACCTTGGAAGGGTTATGTGGGACTCGCACAACAGTGCATACCCACTAAAACCCCACGGCGCCACCAGCAATCGCCCGGGGCAGGACACGGTAACAGCGTGGCCTTGTCCGCATCCAGCAACGCGATCAGCCGTTAGTATCACGGTCCTCTACGGCAAAGAATATGTGGAATGGACCTTAGGCACTGCAAGGATTTATGCTTTTCACATCGGCCAAGTCACCCTGTTTATAAAGCTGGGGAGGTAGTGCGACGATGCTTGCAGGGGATGCGTCAGCATCCCTTCTTTTGACGCATGGACCCCTGTTCCCCCGCTGGAGCAACTGCGTGCCCAGGATTACACACGGGGTTGCACGGTGCAACGGCGGCGCTGTGGTCTCCTACGGCGACGCGGGTGGGCTGCAGGATCATCCTCCCTGGCCCTTTCCGCCTCTTCCTTTTTGTGCATGACGGCTTCACAGAATCTCTGGAAGATTTCCCACATGCCGTCACTGTCCGTGTTTGTAACTGCTACTCTCACAATGTTATCGAGGGTAGCGTCCTCGCCCTGTAGCACGCCCAGTAGAGGCCTCCTTTCCACCTCCCATGCTAGGCAATCCTTTAAGGTGTGGAGCGCATCATCAACAACACCAGCGTCACAATGGTGGCAGGTTGGTGCCTCCTCACGCCCGACTACCTTGTGCAGATAGCTGCCGAAACAGCCGTGTCCGGACAATATCTGCACGAGTCGGTAGCTGAGGCGGCCCCACCGCCTCCTCACCCATTTGTCGAGATGTGGTCTGAACGCGTTGATGATAGAATAAGATTATTTAAGTCAACGACAATTAATTATCTATAAATTGTCGTTGATTTAAATAATCTTCAGTTAAAAAAATAGTAGATTTTTGTATGATACCGTATTATTTGTAAGTGCTATTTCCCGTCTAAGTGTTTAAAACCCTATAAGAAAGAGGCCCTTTTGTAGGCAAAGCTATTAATCGAGTACTAACCTGAACAATTATTTAAAGAGTAAACTGTTGAAAAGACTGATCAATTGAATTGAATGTAATTTCTTTAGAAATGAAAATTCTCATATGTTCTTAAGTTAGCACTTTGTTTATATTGGGAGAAGGTTTTAATGTCTTCCTCGACAGTGGCAATTCCCAAATATTTATGGACTTCAGTATTTCGTGTTAACCACAGCGCACCGCTCATATTTCGTAGTGTTTTGCTTTGTAGCCGCTGCAGGATTTCGATATTAGAGCGGCTTGCTGACCCCCAGAGCTGTATCCCATAGAACCATATTGGTTTAATTACAGTTTTATAGATGAGGAGTTTATTGTCTAAACTGAGTGCCGCATTTCTACCTAATAGCCAGTTCATGCTACGAAGCCTACCAATAGCATGCTCCTTCTTGGCTTTTATATGGTCTTACCAAGTCAGGCGTCTGTCCAGGCGTTAGAAAGTTGGAAAACAGCTCCGCTTTATCCTGTGGTTTTTGTGCCCATTCGCGATTAGCTTGTCTTAAAGGGGGCATGTGTTCTTTTGGCCTTTTTAATGATTTCGTCATCTTCCAGAGTGAATAATCGTCAGCTTTATATGGCGACAATGTCTGTAGTTTATCTTGCAATGTACGATTTTCATTTTCTTTGAGTAGTTCTTTTAAATCTTTTTGGGCTTTATTCAACGCTTTTTTATCTTGCTGATTCCTGCTGGTATGCCATTGTCGTCTTAGTCTTCTCTTCGCAGCAATAAGATATTTTATTTCCAACGGTATGTCCTGACTTTGTGTTTTAGGTTCTATATATGGGGTCGATAGCCATGCTGCTTTTTGTATAAGATTAGTAACTTGCCAAGCTGTGTCGTCTATGTCATTTTCACTTTTAAGGGGTATGCGTAGGTTAGCATTATCTTCAATGTATTCTCGAAAGGCTTCCCAGTCAGTTTTACGGTTGTATAAAGTCTCCCGTGGTTCTTTGTAAATAACTGTTGTGCTTAGTGTGCAGATAACTGGTGTGTGGTCTGAGGAGCCATCTAGACACGATTGGACTTTAGTGTAGAGCCCAGATATCCCTTTAGTGATGAAGAAGTCGATAAGATCTGGCATTTTTTTTTCGGTCTGTTGGCCAATGGGTTGGTTCACCTGTTGATATTACACTAAGGTTATTACTATCAATAGACTTTTTCAGCTCCCGGCCTTTTGTTGTTGTTAGTCGTGAGCCCCAGAACGTGTGCTTAGAGTTCCAGTCTCCTCCTACAATGTATTTGCAGCCGAGCGTATGGAAAAGTCATTATACATATGCTCATCTATCCGGTGTCTAGGTGGACAGTACACTGCAGCCACATTGAGTGATCCCTGCCAGTCATCTACAGCTATTATAGCGGCTTGTATGTGCGCATGTTTGAATGGTGGCAGGATATGATGTCTAATGTTTTCCTTAATTATAACAGCTGCCCCAGCATGAGATGTACCATCTGGATGATTAGCATAGTATACATTGTATCCTTTCATTTTTATTATTCTTTGGTCAATCATATGCGTTTCAGTGACCAGTAAAATATCTATCTTATTGTGATTTATAAAAACCTCGACTTCTTGCTTATTTGGGAGTAAGCCATTTATGTTCCATGTCGCGATACGTAGGAATTTCATTTTTGCTGTTGAGCTATTACTGTCGTTAGTAGACTCATAAGAGTCCCTATTTGTTGGATGAGGATGTCAATCTTTTCTGACTATTTTATTATGATTTGCTCTAAAGAGCTCGTTGGCTGAGTTTGTCTATTCTCTATATTTCGATTCCAGCTACGAGTGTTTGCTGGGCTAGGCCCATTTTCCGGTATGTACGAATTGTTATTATCCTGGTTATTTGAGGATTGTAGTCTATTATACCTGGAGGGTTTTAATGGAGGGAAGTCACCTATTTGGGCTTCAAATGTATTGGTAGGCTTCTTATCTACAGGGACTTTTCCTTTTCCTGAGTTAGCCATTTTTCGAGCAGGGATCTCCTTATACACTTGGCAGCCTTTATAATTAGCTGGATGTTCACCAAAGCAAAGAGTACAAGTAGCTGGTGTGTTTTTATCCTTTTTTGGGCAATCTGTAGTTTTATGCCCTTGTGCACATTTAACACACCTATAGGGACGCATACAATTATTCTTAGTGTGACCATATTGTTGGCATCTGGTACATTGGGCTATTTCGGTAGACTTTCTTGGATCTTCTATTGTAACTCTAGTGTGGTAAATATATTGTATATTTTTTATTTCAGGGTTATTGATACTGGGTTCTACGTTTACAAAGAACATATTTAAGGGCTTCTTATTTTTTCTAGATATGGCGTAAACTATTTCACCGCGTACCATGTTTCCTGTTTTTTCAATTTCTTCTATTATAGCTGATGGAGGGGTGGTATAATGCAGGTTTTTTATAACAATCCTGTAGCATTTGTTCTGCTTCTGTGTGAATGTGTGACCAATAAGGCCATTGCTGCGGATAAGTTCTATCAAGTTTTTATATGTTTCAGTTGACTGCGCCATAACTCTTAGCTGATCTCTATTAATAACTTTATATGAGTAGCTTTCGTGGGGTATCGTCTTGTTTATAAGTTCTGTTAATTTAGATATATCTTCTATCCCATATAAGATTATAGGCGGTGGTTTGTAAATTTTTTTGGCGTTAGTGGACGAGTCGTCTCTTTCCTTCTCGGTTAGATCTACAGGTAATAGATTATATCTGTTTGAAGTACTAATTGTTACTTGTGATTTTTGGTTAGGCGGTATTTGACTACGCGGTGGACTGTTTGATAGTCTTTTTCTTTTGGGATAGCGGTCTGTTGGGACTCTTTGCCAGGAAGGAGGGGGGGGAGAAACTTTGTTGGTATCATCATTTATTGTTGGGTCACAGTCATAAACGGTGGATATCGAAGATAAATTCTTCGAGTCTGTATCCTTTAAACTTCCTACTGAAGACGATCTAGGTCTTGTGTTGAGCAGGCTTGGATGAAGTACCTGCTGAGTTAACTTTTTCTTTGTGGCACTCATTCTATTACTCCCAGATTGCAGACATTTTTTTTTTTTTTTTTAATATTATTATTATATATATATTTTTTTTTTTTTTTTATGTTTTTATTATTATTATTATTTTTTTAGTTTTCTATATATATGTATGTATAGAAATAAATTAGATATCTATATAAATTTATAAAACAAAAATAAAAAATAATTGATCTTTCAATATCCCATATATAGGTTTGAACTTAGGCCGATAGAAATGTTCGTTTCCGGAACACAGCTTATCTGCGACGCCGAGGTACTGTATGACGAGATGGACGAATTACTTGAACAGTTTCTTTTCTTTCTTGAGTG